TAATTAAAATTACAGAATGGTATGGGTGCATTAAAAACGTTAATGATTCCCGTAACGATAAACCGTTATATGTAAACGGAGCTTAACACAATTTGATGGTTTAATCAAATAAGAGTAATTATATTAATCTTTAGCTTAATATCGCTGAAGTAGTTTTGATATTTAATTGTTGGATTTTTGAATTTGAACTTCTTAAACTATAATTTCATTAGTTTTTTTATGTTGTTTTAAATATTTAACTACTTTAATTTTAATAATTTATTAAAAGTAAATAGTAAATTATTTCAAACCTTGTGGAATAATATAATATATTCGATACCAATTAAACTTTTAGTTACGTAATCGAGTGCGCGATTTTTATATTCATGGTTGCTAACAACGGACATATTCGGCGCCGGGCTGACTAACTGGAATTTAAAGTTCCCGCTATTGATTCAGGTGGTAGCTCTGCTGTAAGAAATGTCGAAGTTGTGCCAAAAAGTTGCCACATTTATTTATTTATTTCCTGATATTCTCATTCGTTTTGACACTTTAGTTTTGTATTGTGAATTTTTGGTTTAAATGAATTGTGTTGTGATACTTCAAGCTTAAAATTTTTTACTAGCAGACCTTGCAGTCGAACATTGCTCTTTTTAGAATCTCTTTTAGTGCGAAGTGGTACAAGATAGCTTAACAGCCGTAAAAAAACTCATCGGAAATTTATTAGAATATTATGAACGCAAAACGGTAGTAATGGCCCTTTATTAAGTACTGTTAATGAGGTGAGTTTTGTTGATGTAAATAATAACTTTGCTTACTTCATCCACGTTACCGTAGATGGAGCTAAGAAGGCTTAGGTAGGGTATATATAATAAATAAACAAAAATACGAGTAGCGGAAAAGGGGGCCAAAAAAAACATACATATATGCTTATTCTCTGCATTAAGTTCATCAGACTAAAGGGATCAGCCATTCGACGACCGGTTTCGGAGATTTTTCTCCATCGTCATAGCCGACTTTGCTGTAACCCTCGATCTGACCAACGAAAGTAGAGGTGGGTTGTGAAATCGCAGTCCGCTACTTTGTCACAGCTCCACCAACGTCGCAGTATGTGACTGCTCCAGTTCCAAGAAAATCGCAGTGACATTTCGGAGCAGTTTACAAGTTTAGGACATCTGCGCTCGTGAGTAGCAATAGGAGCAATAGCAGGCAATCGGCAATAGTGTAGCTACTCGTATTTTTGTTTATTTATTATATATACCCTACCTAAGCCTTCTTAGCTCCATCTACGGTAACGTGGATGAAGCAAGCATGTTTGTCCAGTAGGCCGCTGGTTTTAATTTTGGCGGTACGATCTGTGATTGTCACAGCTACCGCTAGATGACGTAGAGCGTCTAGCACTCTCGCCATAGTAGTACTTGAACTTAATGAAGAGAATAGTTTTTTTGGCCCCTTTTTCCGCTACTCGTATTTTTGTTTATTTATTAAATAATAACTGTTTATATATTCTTTTTCCGCTACTCGTATTTTTGTTTATTTATTAAATAATAACTGTTTATATATTTATAATTTATTTATTTTTGTTTCTTAAATATTTTCAAAAGAAAATATGTAAAACTGGACAACGCTGTACCGATCAAGCTTAATCACGTGACCTAAAAGTTTATTTGGTATGAACTATAGATAAATTTTCTGAAAATACAGTGAATTTGTTGAGTCTAAGCTATATAATCCATTAACACAGATTGAGTATGGACTTCACAAAAGTAACATATATTTTTAAATAATGATGCAGTTGAAACAAATATGTTTAAATGTCTATAAAATTATAACAAAATCCTTTACACATTAAAGATAGTGAATTTAAAGTTCTGAAAAAATATCCATGCTAACAGAGGTTCCTTATACTAAGTATTCTCTATCTTTTAGTAAATAGAGGATAAAATATACATGTTAAAACAGAACAAATCCGACCCTACTAAAAAGGGATTAGGGGGTATCTTTGGCGTTCTTTGTTTTTTTTTTAATGTAAACAATATGAATTATTTCTGACACTGTAATTTATACCTCATTCTAAATCAAAAAGAATATACAAAGAGTCTTAAAGTTTTTCAGATCCATAGTGAAAGTTCAAAATAGCGAGTTAATTATTAGCCTACCAATAGGTATGGTAGGCTATTAAGATCGGCAAAACATTTTTTTTTTAAATTTGTAATAACATCAAAATCAGTCAAAGTCGCAGTTTTTGAGATAAAAAAAACTGGAAGAATTCCTTTACTTTGAAACTAAAAGAACTGCTTACCAACTTTTTATTAACATATTTAAGTATGGGCGGCTATACATGCCTCCCGGCGCCAATTTTTTTACTTTGAAAATAAAAAAAAAATTGTGCTTAAATTTTGAGAACCGGTGAATTTTTCTGGGCTTTCATTTCTTTGTAAAAATTAAAAAAATCCCAATCTTTTTCGAAAATGTTCTTTCGTTTTCGAAAATTATTTTGCAATAAATTTCATAAACGTGTTCCTAGAATCGAAATATACCACCCCTAAAAATATGTGCACTTATTTAAAATTCGCCTTGTAGTATATCTGTTTGCTCTACGTCAAAAATGTAATATTTCCTTTTCACCGCAAAAATAAACAGATGAGAAAGTCAACACGTGACTGAACGTTCGGGGATCGTCTATAGCCAAAAATTTGTTGACTCAGTAATATCCTATGCCAACATCACGTTTCGTGCCCTACTGGCAACACAATACGCCGTAAAACGCGCACAATAGTGTTCGCTGAAAACAATCGTCGTGGGAAATTGCTAGAATCGGTTTTTGACAACAATAGGAAATCGGTAGAATTGCATTTAAAGGGGCTGACTAAGTTAGAATGCATAGTAAGTCTAAATATTATTGTCTTTGTTGGTAAACTAGGACGCATTGAATACCTTTAATTATTATCAAAATATCTACAAGTATTTGTTGGTTTATAGACAGAAATCGATAAAAGTTGGCGTCCACGTCATCAAGATGTCGAAACTATTACCAAATTAGATTTCTAGTAAATAAAAATTTGTTCAGATATCTTGGTTAAAAAGACAGCACGCTGTCACATCAAATAAACGAATTGGCGGATAAAAAAAGTAGTCTTAATATGACTACATATTATGTAAGTAAGTTGATGTAGGTAGTCATTAGTCATAGTAGTAGATTTTTATTAACAATAATAATAGTTAATTTTAACACTCTCCAAAGTTTTTTTATCGTTTCATTTTTTCCTACTTCACCATTCATGTTGATAGATACAATCATTAATTAAAATATCTTTTAAACATATCACTTCAAAAAAAAACTATAATTTCTTCTGACTGTTATAGTTCATCACCAAAAGAAAAGCTGCTAATAATCCCATCTTATTTTTTCTAGATAACCAAGAGATTATAATGGTTTTAAAACGGTTTATAAATATTCAGATAAGTAAAAGGGGATTAAATACGAGCAGGTGTTCTAATAAGGTATTTGATGAGGCGATAACATCTAGTTATGACAAGGAAGATACGATTACTTAAAATATTTGTTCTTTAAAGAGTCTAGTCGAAAAATTCCAAAGAAGAATCAGCGATGGTTACACTAATAATGTCAAATCAAATATATCAAATTTAACTCAAATATTATATTAACTTAATTTTTAGCATATTATTTTAATACACTCATTAACTCCTTTTGTTACAAATTGCAACTTTCGACTGTAGCAGTACTACAGTTACCAGTGCTCCGGGATTTCCGTTGTCCCAGATCCCAGAAATTTATAATACTATCCCGGAGAGCGTCAATCAACTTTTAAAATCAAATGTTATTAAGTTCGCAAAGATACGCTTCGCAAAGAGTTCGCACACTCTTATTCTTAACATTGTTCCATCACATTTTTCGATTTAGCTTGATTCGTTTATGTCTAATCATTTACCTTCAGTTATGATATTTTGGTAATTATACAGGGTGCGCCTTAAATATGTGTAAATATTTTCAGGGCTAGTAATAATAAAAGAAATAGATTTTTTCTTTACCATTTTTAAAATAAGTCCAAAATAACCAAGTTATTTTATTTTGAATTAAAAAAATATTTTCTGCTGAAATTGTGACAACCACTAGATTTTTTCGTTCGTCCAAATTTAGTCTGCTACCTATGTTATCATATTATCAAAATTATGTTTTTTTAAATAAAAATTTAAAATATTTTTTTTTTGAAAAATAAAAAAGGTCAAAATATACTACCCCTAAAATCCATCTTATTTTTTTTAGATAATGAAGAGATTATAATGGAGCACTTATCTAAGACTCATTCTGTAAATATGTAAGGTACCTTCGTTTATGTTGGTTGCACTCGTGCCTATAAAGCAAGTTTTGACTATGTTTCGTTTTAATTTATGGTTCACACAGTAATTCTTCTGGAATGGTTGATGGGGATGTATTTTTTTAGTGCGTCGCCGTTTTTGTTTTTTTTTTGCTCTCGCTTACTATCTCGGAATTTAGCTTTAACAATCTGGCAACTCTAAGCAGTACCAGTAAAGAGCTGTTCATGGCTGATTTAATTTAAATTCCCATATATTTTTTAAATAATTATTATTCTCTAGCTGCATTAGTGTAATTTAACCAAGAAGAAATAGTTTTGATTACTTTAGAATAGCAAAATAAAACATTAAATCGCCACAATACACCAAAACACTTTTACTTTTACACTGGACGCGCGTTTCGCTAACCATGTCAGCATCATCAACAGGTGATTAAAACTGTGTTGTTGTGATTTAGTATTTTATTTTGCTGTCTTAATACCAAAGGTTCCAACCTCCAACTGTAATACTTTAGTTAGTTAAATTTCTGATCAAAACCGTGAATCAATAATATTATTCTAAATCGGTTGTTTGCCAAGTTTAGTAGTAAATATAATAATAAAAATCTTAATATATTAAATTAAATACTAGATTCTTAGAATGTGTATTTTTTTCAATTTACTAAACGTTTTTTTTTGTTTCAGGAATAACAAATAAGAAGATGGAAATTGCAAAACCAAAAACGATATCTGAACTTCCAGATAAACTACTTATGTCAGGCATAAACCTTCCAGGTGAGTTTGAATATTATTTAAACATGTTTAACACACTCATCTTTTACTTAAAAATATATAGATACTAATAGTAATAAAGTAGTAAACATTTTAATAAATCAATCATAAGTATAGCTTTTTTAAATTTGTTTTGAAATAAACAAATAGGTTTTTGAAAATTAACAATAATGAACTTTATTGCTAATAGCTGATATTAGATACAAAACTTAGCATAAATGTTTTTGTAAAAGGCATTAGTTTATTAGCTACATAAAGTGATTTTAGGAAATTAGGAAAAATGCGGTATGGGGGTAAAAATTATATTTTGAATTTCTATATTTAGTATATTTGTATTATTTTGTATATTTAGAGTTTGTTGAGTCTAGATACGTGAAACAATAAATAGTGAGTTGGCCATATAATATTTTCATCTTTTTTTATCTCTAAAAAAATGAGGAATGAAAAATTGGATATAGTTGGTTAAAAATCTGGAACTAAAATCTAACAGAATTGTGAATTAATCCACGTTGATACGGGATTCAGTATCCAGTTGATGCGTGAATCAATCCAGTATCAACATTTTGTTTCCCCTCGTATAATTAATAGACAGATTGTATCTCAATAATTGTTATTTTAAGACGGGCCTAAAGAGTTAAATAATGTAGCTACAAATTACTTAAAAATTATCAAAACTGGACCACTAGAACAAAATATATTGAACTTTAAAATACATTTTTTACAAAAAAAAATTCCTGTTTTCGGTACAGATTAATTTTGAACATCGGTTTACTAAATTACAAATATAACTTTATAACCTTTATTACGTAGTGCTAACCCATAGAAATTAAGACGGGTATAATCGGTAATATTTCTAATTGTCGAAAGTAAGATGTTAATACTTGCGTGCGAGACTTGTTGAGAATCATAAACTACCTTCACTCTGGCTTCTCTTAATAAGTATTATTTCGGTAGGAATGTACCTAATTTCATTACCGAGGAAAGCCAAACCGAGTTGAAATTACCGTAAATAACTAAATTATGGAAAGTTAAAAATAATTCCAGCTATACGTGTGTAAGGAAGGTACCGTTCCCGTATTGAATACTTAAAACCTACCAGTTCCTGTTTGGGTAAATTATGTAGATTAACGAGAAACGTGATCTACACAGTTGTGTGAAAGATAGACATCAGGATTGCATAAAACAATGCTTGAATATTGATTAGAAATCTATTTTTTGTATATGTTACTGTAAAATTAGGTTTCCATACAAGTTTTTGGAAATTTCGGACAAGTGAGCTCTAAAAGCCGTACAAAATCCGGACTTTAAACTAAATAATGAATTTCTTTATGTGATGTTTCTCTATTGAGAGAATACCTGATAGTGAGAGTTGTTGTCTGTCGTTTTAATTAATAGATAAATTGTATTTTCTGTCATTGTTTGGATGTTGTCCGACGATATTCTTCCCTGAGTCGACAGACAGAATTTCATATAAAGGGAAAATTGCTTGTAAAGGCAGTTGAAAAAGTCTTAAGTATATCCTTTTGGCTTTGTGAGCAAATACAGTAGATTATTCCTTTTTAATAGAAGGAAAAATTTTTCGTTTTCAAAAGCATTTCATTAGTTACTACACATTTTCGTTTTGACATTTTTAAGTGCTTTAATTTATTGTTAAAATTAAGTATTGCACGTTATATACTGATCCTTCCAAACCAATTACCATACTTCCAAACCAATACAATTAACATAAGCTAAAGTCTGCCCAACAAGTCAGGCAAGATTTCGGCAGATGACATTTAAAAAATGACAGAAAATACAATTTACTTATGAATTATAATGACAGGCACAACGCAATGGATGATTGTATGCACCAAATACGAAAAAAATTAACAGATTGATATGATTACTTTCAAACAATGTCGGTTTACTAGATAAGTGACATCGTAACTATTAAAATATCCAACAAAGTTAAGATGTTTTTAGGGTTAGATTTTTCGGACATTTTTTCAAATTTCGGCCGTACCACCCCGACACCTTAAAAGGACAAATCTGTATATGAGAACCCTACTCTAAAAGCCAGAAATTAGAGAGTGTTAAAGTAAAAACTCAGATAGTAAAAGCTCAAATCAGCGGATTTGCTAACACTACGTCAGTAAAAATTCAACAGCTAATTTTGAAACAAACTAACTAATGAATGCTACCATTCACTGGAGCTTACTAGTGAATGCTAGCATTTAAATTCGCTTTATTTTTTGACTATGTTCTAACATCTGCCCGTAACCAAAGAATATTATAATAGTAGAATTATCTTTGCCGTAACTGCCCGTCATCAGTTACCCAGTAGCGGCTAGACGCTTGGTGCTTTTTGAGATTAAGTATAAAAGCAAATATTTTAATTTTGGTGTTTCTGTATTTTTTCACGGGGTTTCTAACAGGACACTGTCTCCTTAACGAACACCTCAGTAGTCTGAAGCTGAGAAACAACGGCGAATGCAGGTTCTGTGGGGAAAATGGGGAAACACCAGAACATCTTATCACTGAGTGCGCCGAGACGACGACCGTTCATGCCATGCACTTTGGTACGGCTCATGTCGAGGATAGAGAGCTGGCCTCTGTGGAGCCGTCTCAGATACTGACTGTTGTTAAAGCCCTGAGAGTTTTTGATGAGTTATAACTCGTTATAACCCAAGAAAAGGGAATACACAATAGATCTGTAAGGTCGCGGTGATTAATTCCCCTTCTAAACATTCTGCTGTCACTATAGCGACTCTGCTCACAATTGATAGCAAAAGTCCACAAATTTCGTTAAAATACGACATTCATTGATCCAATCTGTAATTGTTAGAATTTATTAGTGATTGTTAATATGTACTGGATTTCCAAATTTTTCCGAGTTTTTTGCAAAAAAATGTTGAAATTAAAAATGTTAACTAGAAAATATGAAAAAAAATGTTTATACCTCTGTGGCGGATTCATCTCTTCAAAAAAAGTCCTATGGGTATTTTGCCACTGCAAAAAAATCTACACAATAAAATAGTTATTTTTTGTAAACGCTACTGCGTTAATCCAACGGAGACTCAGCAGAATAAAAATATGGTTCTTTTATCCAGATTTACCACCATTTAAAATAGTTGAATATATTTAAGAAACACCCTGTACATTATTGCGAGTTTATATTTACTTATTTCTCTCTTTAAATTAAAAATCTATTAATTAACTAACGACAAGGAGTTCACTTAACCATCAGATGACTTTTTCAATTCTCGATATTGCAAAATTTTCTCATTTAAATGCGGCAGCCACTAAATTTTCCTTTCTATACTGAATTTTTATGCTTAAGGAAACGAAGGTAATTGAATAGAAAAAGCAAATGGTAAAAGCTCTCGACATTGTTGACTTCATTCGATAGCACTGAGCTAATGTACGGTGCGTTATCTCAAACGCGCGATCAGAAAAACGGGCTTAAAAGTCGTTTAGACGGTATTCACTCGTCAAATTCGCACCTGCTTCTTGCGACAACTGAGTGAAATAGTTCGATGATTTCTTTGCAAATGCCTTTAGACATCAAGATGTCGAAAGTGCATTTTTGTTTTTTAAAGGTCTCAGTAAATTTATTTTTTACTATTGATAAGTATAAGAAATCGGTATTTACTTCATTTAATGAGAAATAATAGTTCTTTTCCTGGGTAAAATAAGGATTGCATTTTTTAGCTATGTGAATTCTCTCATATAAAGCCTCTTTGAATGATCCTGTTTTTCAAATTATTTTGATAATGTTATTCGCCAATTACACGCCTTTTATAGGTGGTTGCCATATTGTGAAGATTTCCATACTAGGATTGCTAAAGGGCAACGGCCCTTTAGCTCGAAACGCCGATAGATCGATATATCACCGAAGTTAGGCGACATTAGACGATGCGAGTGGATGGACGGGTGACCAACTGGTTACTCTGTCGCGCTGTTGTTTCATGGCAACAGTATATCATAAATATAAAGTATCTTTGCACCCGTTCAAAGGTGCGTACCAAGTGCGTACAGCGCCCGAATTCTGGAACTTGACATAAAAACGTTATACGCTTTCAAATTGGCAAGTGAAAGTACATACATATACATACTGCCATTACTCGCTGACGAGTATTTGACACGCATCAGAAGATGGTCACGCAAGGCGTTTTCTTTCATGAGCCTTTCTGTGACTGAAAAGCCCAATACGTGATGTTATTTGTCTATCCCCATTAATCCCCTTTAAGTTTTCGTGGAAAATGTCCTTGTACCTTTTGAGTTGTCCACCTGGCCTCCTTAGTAACCATGACTTCAATACTCTCGCAGTTAGCTTTTTCAAGAACCGATACGTTTGAGACGTGATGGAACCATTTGATTCTTAAGAGTTGTCTAAGGTGTCTCTGTTGCAACTTGTTTAATGCGTTCATGTGTCGGCGGTACGGCACCCAGGTTTCGTTCCCATATAACAGGGTGGGGATTATTATTGCTCGGTACACTGCAAGTTTCGTTTTTGTGCTCAGGTTATGGTTGTAAAAAACCCTGTCTTTTAATTTCCAGAATGCTCTTGAAGCGCTGCTAATCCTGTGCTGAATTTCAGAGTCGATATTGGCCTTTTCCGAAATCAAACTGCCGAGATAATTGAATTCCGCTGCATATTCCAGTAGTTCTTCTCCGATTTTTATAGCATTGTTATGATCTTCCGGGGGAGTGCACATGATTTTAGTTTTGTCGATGTTTAGCTTAAGGCCCAAAGCCTCGTATGCCCAGGTATATGTGTTCAACATTTCTTGTAATTGCTGCACAGTTTTTGCAACTAGAGCGCAATCGTCAGCGTATTGAAGTTCTGTGATGAATTTTGTACGTATTTTTGCCCTGAGTCTTTTTATGTTGAACAGACCGCCATCATATCTGTATCTAATGCCCAATCCTCTCTCCTGCAGTTTGCTGTTCATTATAATGGAGAGCGCTGCCATGAATATGTTCAATAGGAGCGCTAAGACACATCCCTGCCTAACTCCTGT